GTATGCGAGCTGACACTTCATCCGTAATGCGTCCACTGGGTGAGATGTAGCTGCCTAAATAACGAAAAATAACAAAAATTAATAACAAAACTTATCCACCTGCTCTATTACTTCCCCAGTTAGAGTGAGGCTGAGTGCTGGACCGACCCAGTCTTGTAGTAGCATTTTACAGTTTATAGGTGCAAAACGCATACCGAACATGGCTACACTAGCACTCAAACTATCCAGAAAAGCTTGCAACTTACCTGGATCTTCACTTGGCAGCACAATGTCGTCTGCGTACTCCAGATCAGACAGCCTGCCACTTGGAAGTAAATCTATGCCACTATCCCTGCACGAGGATAGGGCTGTTTCAAGATGTATATCTATGACAAAGTTAAATAGAAACAGAGAAACTTGCGGTAGTGAACTCGGGAGAATAAGTACCGTAATCTCGGACTCGGCTTCGGCAGTTAGTATAAAGGCTACGAGTAGCAAACTTGGAGCCACAAACCGTGCCAAACGACGACGTACTCGGTCCGTACCTTTTCCTAGCATTCATCAACGACCTACCAGATGTCCTTGGAGAAAAGGTATTATTGTTCGCTGATGAGGCCAAAACCCGTGAGTGAACGTCAGAATTTGCTATTCAATTGTACTACCAACCGAACCCAGTATGTACAAACCCTACGGGATTCAATGAGCATGAGCTTTGTAATTTACCCATAACAAAAATTTGAATTTGAAACTTGACGAATCACCATCTGATGAACGGAGATCCACATACTTCCCATTGACGAACTGCTGGAGGAGAGTGGAAGCAAAGACGGAGCCAAATCAAGAAAAAATATATATGAAATGCATACACGGGACTCGCACGAATGCAAACCAAGTTGTGTGTGTGTGTGTGCGGGCGCACGCATGGCTGAACACAGTTCGGGGGATCGAATGAATGCGATTCAGGATAGAGAGGAAGAAAGAAAACAGAGAATGAGACTGTGCATTGGTTTGGTTGTTCATCCTTGTTTTTTTCCTGCTGTTGTGATTATTATTGTCGTGGCTGACAACGATGAAGAGAATCAAAATGACTTTGCACAACAAACGATAATGCCAAACAGAGCGACTTCGCCGAGGTCATGGAAGATGGTGACACTTCATATGCTGTAAATAGTACACCAATATGAATGTGTGTGTGTGTGTGTGTGTGCGACAGTGGTCCAACCCGGGGGCGGAGTGAAGTGGGGAATAAGAAGCGTGGGAGAATGTGATAGGTCTTCTTGCTGTCATGTTAGTTGCCATCATACTCAGTTGAGCAGTATTCTGGATTCGAATGTGTGTATGTGTGCGCGCGCGCCCGTGTGACGGGGTGGTCTGAGACCGAGGCAGAGAGGGAGACGAAGGAAGAGGATACAAAGTTTTTAGTGTACAGTTGTGACTCGATACACACTCACACACAGGCAGCGCTGTAAGAAGAAAAGAAAGACTCGATCAAGAATACCTTGGAGAGATGGGAAACTTTTCTTCGATGGAAAGAACACTGAAAGTGAGTGAGATAAGGAGTTGCTACAAGTGGAAAACAAAACATATTCCACATACGAACTGAAAGTCAACAGAGTGATGAAGTGAACACGGCGGATTCAATAGACTATCCACAAAGGACAGTAATAATACAGGGTATGATGATAATAATAGTAGTAATATGATGATGATGATAATAATAATAATAATAATGATAATATGGAGAAGTCACGCATCAAAATCTGGCCAGAATCTGGTGGACTTCATTCTCGACGAAAAAGAACGACTGATTCGCTCTTTCTCTCTCTCTCTCTCACACACACACACACACTCACAAAAGGGTAATGAGTTGGTGAACCGACATGGACTACAAAAGGGGTTTGCGAACAGAGATTCGGACTGAACAGTCAAAACCAATGAGAACGCCATTTCCTCATTGTTCTGCACTGGTGGTGGTGGTGGTGGTGGCGGCGGCAGCGGTGGTGGTGGTGGTAGTGATCAATCGGTCGGTTACATTCGAGTCGTCTTGACAAAGTCCCGCACTGATG